GAAAAGAAGGAAAAGGGGAAAGGAAAAATAAAAAAGAAAACAAGGGGAAATTGGAAAAGGAGAAAAGGGAAAAGAAGGAAAAGGGGAAAGGAAAGAAAGAAAAAATAAAACAAAGGAAAACAAACAAGAGAGAAAAAAGGGAAAAGGAAAAAAGGAAAATAAAGAAAGCAAAGGAAAAAGAAAAAGGAAAAGGGGGAAAAGGGGAAAAAGGAAAAAAAAGGAAAATGGAAAAAAGAGAAAAAAGGGAAAAAGGAGAAAAAGGAGAAAGAAAAAAGAAACCAAGGGAAAACAAGGGGGGAAAGGGAAAAGAAAACAATAAAGAAAAAAAGAAAAAAACAGGAAAAAAGAAAAAAGGGAAAAGGAAAAAGAAGAAAAAGAAAAAAGAAACACGGGGAAAAAGAGAGGAAAAAAACAAAAGGAAAAAAGAGCAAAAAGAGCAAAGAGGTAAAAAGGAAGAAAAAAAGAAAACAGAGGGAGAATGTGTGTGTTTGTGTGTTGTACAGGGTGGTCACATGCTGGAAGAAGCTCCCAGGGAAGCAGCCACAGCCCCAAGCCCACCCGTGTCCCCCAGGCACTGGGACACTGGACTCCATCCCCACAGCCCCTTCCAGGGGGCCCTGGGTGCTCAGGCTGTTCTGTGACCCTCAGTGTTAGTGAAGGAAAACAATTCAATGTACAGCCCTTGCAGGAGAGGGTCTCAAAGCACTACACAAGTGCTAACCTTGAATGAAATGAAAGAAGGGGAGAGATGTTTGTCCTGCTGTCATTGTTCTCATTAGGTACTTTGCAAAAGAGGTCACTCGTGCACTGGGCTGAGGTGGGGACATGGCACAGAACCAGAAGCATTTTGATCTACTCCAGCATGGCATTTCAAGGAAGGAGATGTGTGTGCAGATGTCTCTGCTATTATTGATACAACACTTTGCCATTTTTACTTGTAGGGATTGTGGAGGAACAAAGACTTTCCTCCTGCTGTCACAACTGCCTGGAGGTTCTCCTGACCTTTTTTTCCCCTCCCATTTTTCCAGGTGATTAAACTGTGCAGTCAGAAAACATAACTATAATGCCAGGAAGCCAGCAAATTTAACACCACAAAAGGATAATTGTGTAATACTTCAGGCCACTGTAGTTTCAGCGAGGACTGACCCTCAGCTGGGGATGACAGAGTGCCAGCAGCTCCCAGCACAATGACTGACAGAACTGGGACATGGCAAAGTGCACTTTTGGAGCCTGCAGCAACAGAGGAGCTGGAGGATACGCTCTGCATTAAGAACAGTCATGTACTATATTCTTAGAATAAGGGATAAAGTAGGACAGCACATGACTATTTCCCTTCTAAGCCATTCACTTGAAACATTTTCCATCCTCCTCTCATTTTCCTTCACTAGCCTGTAAAGGACAGTTGTCTGTACTACTAGTGTAGAATTATTTATACTCTTACACTACACTACAGATCTGCACAAAATGAAAGAGATTTTACTACCTGCAAATGTCACATTAAAAGAAAGAACAGTTTAGGGCATAGTGTCTCAGTGGGTGAGTAAAAAAAATGGTTTTTTCTCCCCCCACAGTTTGTAACATTCTCAGTGTGTACACACCTGGTGCTGGTCCAGTGTGAGCAACTGGGACACCACAGGTAAGATCCTGAATGGGAAAAAACCCAAGTGAACACATAGCACAGATGAAATTTAGGTTGCCCCTTGGGTTCTCCACCTGGGCAGAGAGAAATATGGGTTCCATTTCTCAGCTTCAGGACATTTCTTTATTTTTGCCAGTTACTATTTAGCTTTAAAAGACTAAAAAAATAGCTGCTGTTGTTCCCATAGGTCCCAGGAACTTTGTACTCTCTTCTCTGCTGTGGTGTGGCTTCCTCAGGCAACATTCCCACTGTGGGATACCCCATGGCCTGAGGCACAGAGTCCTCTCCTGGGAAGGGAGCTTCAGCTCATGCAGAGAAGGAACTGAAGGGAGCCCAACGTATCTTGCTTTCCAGGACTCACAGTAAGCCACTGCTGTAACAGAGATAGGGACACCTACACATCCCCTCTGTAAAGTTCAGGACAAGCTCCTGCTTATTTTTCTACCAAAGTGAACAGGAAATTCCCCCCTCAAGTCTTGGGTGTGCCTCTTGAGAGAGGGATGAAATACCTGACATTTCCTATTGCCACCCAGCTTCCACCAGGCACTGCAGATGTGACAGCAGCAGGGGGAACAGAGGGCCTGGGTCTTTGAGGACTTGAGAAAGCAAACTCTCTTCTTCTGTCATTACTATAATGTACGAGTTCTAGAGGTGTGATTTAACTCAAGAGTTGTTGAATCCCCTGACCCAGCCTGTATTCTAACACCAGTTCCCTCTCCTTGTTACAAAATTAGTACCTGCAGCTCGTGCTGACAGTTGATGCTGTAATATTAAGCTAACAATTTTCTTTTCAGAGTGTGCTTTGAACAGAGCAGTCTTAATTTAAGAATTATTTTAACAGTTCATTTCCTAAACATAACTAAATTACCCTTTCTAAATGTTACATCTGTACATAAACTAACTCACAGCATGAAGTCCCCTGAAGCCATGGCATGGCTACAGTGAATTCAGTGCAGAAGTAACAATCTCCATTTAGAGACCACCCTCAGTGGAAAAAAAACCCACCAAACCCTGCACAATAAAAAGATAACCCTACAAGTTTCCTTTCCTATAACTATCAGCTTAAAAGCACACGCAGTCTGGAGAAAGGACATTAATGTCTTTAATTCCTGAATGGCTCTAAAAAATTCTATTGCAGGGATGGAGTTCTCTACTCAATTACATAAGATGATTTAAACCACACAAAGGTAATTGCAAAACTTCCCTTGGATTTTACTTACAGCATGGTCAAGAGACTATGATTTAACTGGGACTAGAATTTCAGATGTGCTTTTACATGTTCTTAGTGTTTCTCCCTGCAGATCATTCCTGTGCAGATCAGGTTATTTACAGATTAAGTGCCTGGAAATGAGAGATTACAATATGAAATATGTTAAAAAAGCTGGAATTAATTTTATAACTTTTGCTAAGAGAATTAGTAATGTACAGCACAATTGACCCAACATCTATAGATCTGCTTGTAATTAGTATTTCCTACTACGACAACTTTAAAATCTACTACATATGGGCTTCCACTGATTCAAAACAACAGAAATGTCACTGGCTCTGCTGTTAAATACCATTTTCAGACCAGGAAATACCAGCTTTGAAGTGGCCAATGAAATGGAGCAATCATGTAGTTCAGAATTTGCTTTATGCAGTTTGAAAGAAGTGTTGGCAATTCCTTTAAGCCCTACAAAATGGGAAGTCGGTGAGATGCAAGTTAATTTAAAGCTGCTTTGTTGCAATTGTTACACAGTTGACAAAGTTTTGATGTAATCAATGGTATAGAGGTCCCAAAGTAAAATCTTGAATAGTCACTATATAAAAATATCACTTTAGAGTTACACCCCGTAAGAATCCTAGTTAATGAATAATCCTGTATCACTAAAGGAGAAGTTGATAGAGAATTTTCTTTCACACATTTCTTGCCTCTCTCTCTCTTCCCTCACAGTGCTAAGCCCACGTTAGCTGTGCCTGCACTAACACAGCCAGAAGTGATCTGAGAATGGAGTCTTAACAAAGGCACCAGAAACCACTGATGCCTCTTCCACACTTCAGTCCTCAGGCATCACAGCAGAACCAGGGACTCTCCTGACTCCACTTCTTAGTAAAGACAGAGTTGAAGAGGCAGACCCACTTTCCTAAATGATAAAAATAAAATGCTGACACATTGTACTGCCAAATAAGCCTGTAAGATCAGAATTACAGGGTGTTAATGTTAAATAGTTTATCTTATTCTAGTTATGTAGTCCTTTGGCCAGATCACATTCAACTGCTCATTTAGCCTAGCACCGATCTCATGTAATTAATCCACAAAGTTCCTTTCCAACTGTTTTAATGCAGTGTTAATGAAGGCCCCTGATTTAATCTTCTGCCCCTCCATTTAGAAAGTGATTTTAAAATACCATTAGTAAGACAGGTACTAACAGTTCACTGCAAAGACTTCCAGAGAGCAAAATGAAGGTAAAGGAAATACCCCCTGCTCCCAGACACACAGAATGGATACAAAAACATAACAAATAAAGGTTTGTAACAAATTTTACTTGTAGAAAAGCAACATTTTAGTATCACTTCACAATAAAAAGGTCAGAATGCAACAGGTAAAGCACACTGTAATACTCAGTATGAAAAGTAGGAGGTAACACTGTGGTGTTGAGCCAGCTACTCCTGGTGCCTCTTTGTGGATACTTTCTTAATTACAACCTTGTCCTGGTTTCAGCTGGGAGAGAGCTGATTTTGCTTCTTAGGAGCTAGAATAGTGCTGGGTTTTGGATTCAGCGTGGGAAGTGGTATGAGAAGAATGCTGATAATATACTGATGGGCTTAGTTGTTGCTAAGGAATCAAGGACTTTTCAGCTTCCCATGGTTTGCTGGTGTACAGGTGCACCAGAATCTGGGAGAGAGGATGGCCAGAGCAATGGAGCCAGACTGGCCAATGAAATACTCCGTACAACATCATGCTCAGTGTATAGATGAGCATTAGCTGGGAAGCTGAGGCTTTCTCTCTTCCAGGACTGAAGGTTTGGGATTATCTCCCCTGGGATTGCTAGCTGGGAACAGGCTGGGCTTTGGTCAGTGGGTGGTGAGTGACTGCCTTGCATATCACTCCTCTGTATTTTTATACACCAAAATCTGTCTGGATAAATCAAACCCAGGGCCAGTTTCTCACTACACAATAATAGCTCTACCTTTCAGTGATCTTTGAAACAAAAGGCACCTTGTAAGTCAACTATCTGTCCCATCATTCTACTCCACCTTATAGTAAAAAAAGGAAAAAAAAAAATCTTGATATAGAAAATTGTTCCATCTTCTTGCTTCTGCATTCATACAACCTCATTATCAGGTTTCCTTATCCAGATATTAAACTGTAAAATGAATATTACTTATCATGGGGCTTCTCCATCATCTTCAGTGCTAATCTTCCAACCATCAGCAAACTGTATAAGGGAGAAAAACACAGAATTAGATAATGATAATAATTTGTCAATTTATTTGCAAATACTTCCCATGTAAATGGTGCATGGAAACAAAAACGATACACCAAATATGATTCACTCTGAGTTTAATTAAATAAATAAGAAATCACACAGAAGAGGTTAAAAACCAAAAGTATATTGTGTTATACCTGACACCAGCAATCAGTCCTGCAGGCATGAATTTGCCAGAGTTGTAAAATCTTGTTCCCATGACAGCAGTCAGTGTTCCAGATGTAACTTAAAAGAGAGATTACACAGTCCAGTCAGCAGAGATGCATGTGTCTGTGAGAGATGCTGCAATTCCAAACTAAGGAACAGTAGAAGCATGAAGTAAAAAGTGAAACAGGGTTATGTCATGTAACAGACAAAATGGGTCAATAAATTGTGCAATTTTTGGAACACCTCAGTATGTGAAGTGTAAATATTCTAAATCAAGTTCTAGCAGACAGTGGGCTCCATACATTTCTGAATACTCTTTTTTTTTTTTGTCAGAATTTACTTCTTTGGAGACTGGACATAATCTATGTTGCACTGCTCTGGAACTCATCTTCAATCCCAGCCACAGCATCCTTCCTCCCTAACACCATCCTAAATATTGTCACTGACATCTAACAGTCTCATGGAAGTAGGTAAAAAGACTGGGACCACAGTCTAATACACAGGAAAGAACTAAAATTCTTCAGTACTCAAATATCTCAAGCTCTAGCCAGTCTTTCAAATATCCACACCTCTCTAAATATAATGTTGTCTAAGACATAAGTAGAGCACACCATCTCCAAAAACTTTAAAGCATGAAAGGAGGGAGGAAAAGACTCCACATGCTACCAAATAACAGAAACATATCTGTCTCTTGCATTTGGAAAAATACTTTGTCTCACTTCTGTTAAGCTCACTGTATTTGCAATTTTTTCCAGTTATTTAGGCCTGAACACACACAGCTTTTGACCCAGCCAGTGGATGTGGCAGTGGAGAATGCTGAAATGCAGAGAAATGCAGGGACTTGCCCTTTCAGGTATCAAAGAGCTAGATGCTCTCTCACTGCTCCAGTGAACAAAGGCTATTAGCCAGTGGCAGCCCTTTAAGCACGGACTGAGCAGTGACTCTCCACAGCTTGCTTCTCAATGTCAGGGAGAAGGGAAGCTCCAGCTGTGAGAGAAGGCAGAAGAAACTACATTACTGAAGCTTGCTGGCTTCTCTGTTAAAACTCCCCAGGTATGCAACACCTTTGTAATTCCACATCTTTGTCACATACATAAATAGGACAATCACAGTCTCTGCTGTTTCCAGCAGTAACAGAATAGCCTGCTAAGGGTATGGGCTGTCTGCAGGGGTATCACCCTTCCTCAAATGCTCCAGCCTCCTGCAGGATGCTGAAAGTAGGATCCAGCCAAAAAGAGGACACACAGAGGTCAGACATCTGTTTACAAGCATTCCCCTTCCTCTGTGATCCTTTGAACATGGTGATAACCACCCTAACTTGATCACAACCCTGAGCTCTAGAAGATAAATGGCAGAAACAGAAAAATGGCATTTTGGAGACTCACACCCTACTACATTTTAAACACAAAATGCTCATTTGAATTTTATTTTGCAGAAGGATGTAAAATAATTCTATTCGGTTTATTTTTTTTTTTAACTACATAAGTTTCACTTTATCTTAGCACACATTTTCCTTCACAACCTGTAGGCTTTTTGAGATTATCTAATGATAAGTAACAGACATTCTCCTCTCCTGTTGTAGAAGAGGAACAAAAATCTAAGTTTGAACTATCACCCAAAGCACTTTATACTTCTTGCAAAAGGGATGCAGGAATGTTATAAGAAATCACTGAGCAAGACACACTGAGACAAGTAGTTTTTAATGTGTATGTATTAATATGTATTCCCACTACTTTCTTTAAAAATATAATGTAATATAATATAAAGTAATCCTAGCAGTTCACATTCCAGGGAGAGAGCAGATTTTGGCCACTAATGGAGATTTTTCACTAAAACACAATTTTAAAGATTAGGTTGAAACTAGATTTATAACATCATCAGTTTAACTAGTCTGCAAAGACTTTTAGGTACTCATTTTAATTACCCAGTTATTTTAGGGTAAATATAATGACTACTAATTAAAATTTTAAGCAACTTACTCAGAGAAATCCAAACATTACTTGGATTCTGTGAGAGCTGATAGGCACCCAGTCCAGCTAAGCTCCCAAAGAAAAGGCCAGCAGCTAGTGATGGGACACTACCTGAATAAGTAAAAGATAATGCATTTATTAGAAGCTCAGAAATAAACTTTCTCATCAGTTTACCTATTTTGTAAAACATCAGTCAATAACAAAACCAAAAAAGCTGGACATTCATTGTTATAAAGCAGATTAGAGAAGTTTTTTTTCCTTTTAAAATATTAAGACCACGTTGATCCGCACCAAGAAACACGTTCAAATACTCTTGCATAAGATACAAATAGCATTAGTATTAAATTCTTCAGTAGCAAAGCCATTAATATATGTATGATGGAAAGAACAGTGAAGAAAGCAAGAGAACTGGTGTTTTCTTTGTGCAAACTGAAGCATGTTATTTCAACACTAATATCAGCGTTTCCTGAGAGGCAGTAAAGTAGATGGATAAAATAAAGAAGGTTTAAGATCAGAAAAAGGACACATGGACTTAACTGGGCAAGAGAGCATCAGACAAACCAGGAGTTGCCAAAGAAGAGAGAGAATTTGAGTAAGAGAGGCCATATCTCTTAAGTACACCTGAGATGTGATCCAAAGGTAACTGCAGACTTTGGACTTTTTTTTGGGTGAGTCTGTGGACTCACTTAAATTGTGGATCAAGTCCTCACTATAAATGACAATCCCAAGATCCCAGCAGATAAAGGATACCACATCTAAATTGGTGATTTATAGATTACATCAAGTAATGAAGTGGCATGGCCACTGTGAGTGGTGAATGCTCTCATCAGAACTTCATGCTACTGAGGGTGGCTCTTTATAGATTTCATTTTTCCAGTCACCTTTAAAAACTTGAGATTGCAAAGTTAAGCTGATAAAGATCTACTGTCAGTGTGGGTAAATAGACTTGGTTGTAACAGAACAGATCACCCACTATCTTAGTTCTGTGGATGAAAGTGCCATTTTTTTTCTGGTTTCTCCAAGTTCTTACTAGGAATACAGTCGCTTTTTTTTTTTTTTTTTTTTTAATTCCCTACAGTGAGCATGCAAGTTTTGGTTCCCCCTTCAGAAACGTGAATCAGGAACCAGACCTAGATTCCCTTGCCTCAGCATGACCATGTCCTCCTGCCTGGGAACAGAGGACAGGACAAACACCTACCATTTCATAATGGACTCACAGAGACACAGATGCAATTAGTTATTTAAGTTCTCAGTACTGTCCTTCCTGCCCTAAACTACACTCATAGCCCAAAGGATAAATCCAGCCAACAGGAAACAGGTTGGAATAGTTGCTAGCATCTGTGCAGTCAAACGAACTGGTAGGATTCTTAGTAACCTCAGCAATGCACCTTCATATCACAAATGCTAAGGCAGCTTGGGTTTTTTTTGAGGCTGACAGAGACAGTATTGCAGCAGGGATGAATCCACAGCTCTGTCTGGAGGAGGGCAAACTCAGAAAAAAAAATCAGGAAATAAAAACAGTAGGTCAGAGAGTAAGCTTATGACACAGAGTCCAGAAAAGGAACAAGTTTAAGGAGTGATTTGCATTGTTCAGCTCTTCTTGGAGAAAGGATCCTTTTGAAAACACTCTACAGCTTGCAGCATACTGTTAACCATCAAACACTAAACCAAGAATTAATCTCTGTAGGTAAAAAATGGTTATGTCATTTGAAGATACAAAACATTTATAGAATGCTGTTATATTAAAATAAATATAAATATATTTCAATTGCAAAGGTGGCAGTTTGAGACACAGTTTAGTGGTCATGGTACTGCTAGGTTGACAGTTGGATTTGATGGTCTGAGTTTTTTTCCAACCTTAATGATTCCATGATTTCACAAAATAGCAAGGGAAAAGCCTTTCTGAAGCAATGTCAATCCATCTGAAGGGCACAACGCAGAGGCAGGATCCCAGCACCCACCAGAAAGGGATGGGTTTATCAGCCCAAAGCACCAGC